TGGTCCCTAACAGTTGTTAAATGATTTAATTTAAGTTTATTATTTTCAGTGAACATATGATTTTCTAATTGCAAAAAGGACTTCTATAACTAACTTCTGAATTACTTCACTTTTTACTGAATTACTTTGGTAGTCTATATAAAATAGAAGGTGAAAAACCAGAATATGATGTTGTTGTTGCCACAAAATTGATTTTGGTGACGCAAAGTCGAGTTAAAGTCAGATGACGGTCAGTTTGTATATTAATATTAATATGAATAAAATTGAATACCCGCTTTGTCCTGTACACAAACTTATTTTATTTTATTATTAAAAAAAAAAAAATGTCGACAATAGAAAAAAATGAGCTTTTATCAATATTATTATTCAAAAGTTCAATAAATTTTGTACCCTCTTCCAAAGAATATAACAATATTAACAATAATAATAAATCAAATAATGATATTGATAAAGAACAACTTGCAGAGAGTACTGCCAAATTTTATGAGCAGGTGATTTCACTTCCTTCTCAGAAATCTAAAAAAATTAATAAAAAGAAAAAAAGAAAGACAACTACTTGTAAATCACTTCATCTATTACATCAAGAAATATTTAATGTTAATAATAATGACAGGAATGTTAATAAATTTGCTAACATTAACAACAACAAGAAGAGGAAGAACAACGACAATAATAATACTTCAAGCAGTTTGTTAATGCTATTAGAATATGGCGACGATGAAGAAACGGAAAGCGTTGCTATTGATAGAAAAAGTATTCAAGATGAAATAATAGAAAAAAAATTTGATAAAGAAAAATCATTATTAATACAAGAAAAAGAAAAAAATTTTGAAGATAATAATAGTAATAATAAGATATATTGCAAAGATTGTGAAATATGGGTGGAAGAGTCAATATTCGACCAACATGTTCATGGAACTGCACATCTTGTTACTTCAAAAGATTTAAATGATGCTGTGCCAGATCCAATAATACTCAATGAGGTAAATAAAGATTTTTTTTTTTTAAACAAAAAAATATTATATTAACACACATATATATATATATATACACACACACAACTAACTTATTTTATCATTATTTATTTTAATAAAGACTAATATTGGCTTTAGGATGTTACGTGATCAAGGATGGAGTTATGATAAAGGTCTTGGTATTAATGAACAAGGACCTCGACATCCAATATCTACACGAATAAAAAATGATAAATATGGTATTGGTATTAATCCATCTAAAATACAAAAACTTCCAAAGGTTTGTTTATAAATTTATTAATTATATGAAATTATCAATTTTTTAACCATTGAATTATTAATTTGTCGATTTTTTTTTTTCAGGAAAAAAGAAAAAGGCTTAACGCAAGAGAAGCAGCTATACAATATGAAAATGATCGTAAAGAAAGAATGAGGATTCTTGCATATATGAATCATTAATCATGTAATTATTAAAATATCAGATTGACTTCTATTTTTAATTGTTTAAACTGTTAGTTAAAAATTTCCAATTGCTTATTGAAAATATGTTAGTCATTATCACACTTGGCTATCACCACTATCATCTTTTTTTTTTTTCTTTTCAAATTTCTAAGACTAACTTTTCTGTTTCATAGCATATCATCAAAATTAATGCCCTCAAGTATCTTAACTTTTAAAAAAGTGGATTTATAATGCTGGTGTAACTTTATAAAAATTTGAATTTTTTTTATTTTTTTTTGTCCCTTTGTTGTATCTAAACAAAAATTTATTAGTAATATCATTGTGTGTATAAAATTTGACTGCGCCTTCCATACAAATCTCTAGAGAATCTCTAAATTTGGTTAACAGAACACAGAGTTTATATATTGGTGTTCAGTACTTACTTGTTTTGTGTGTTATAAATAATATTGGGTGTTACAAATATGTAATATTTTATTGCTACACACACAAGTAAATAATGGCTAACAATTTGTTTATTATTGTTGATTATTGCCAATTTAACAATAAAAAACTGTTGATTACTAATTATAAATAGGACTCCAATTCTATTTTTTATTTTTTAAAAAAAAAAAAATTCTTTATTAAAAAAAAAAAAATTCTTTATTTTATAAAAAAAATAAATTTATAAAAAAAATAATTTATAAAAAAAATAATTTATAAAAAAAATAAATTTTTAAAAAAAAATATGGAATATAAATATGACATCTCAAAAATAGAAGTTTCTCCTCAAGGTTTAAAGTTACTTGCAAGTGATGGTCCATCTAATCACAATATAAATACCACTCCAATCACAGATGAACATGGGACCCAATGTTATTATAGACCTGTATCACCTAATGAAAGCAAGGAAAAATTATGGCTTGAAAAAATTGGTAAAGGCTTAGAAGCATGGCTGAAAGATTTTAATGAATTTAAGAATAAAATAATAGGATGTATGTAGACTGCAAAAAAAATTATTTTTTTACATTAAATTTTTTTATTCAAAAAATTAATTAATTTGTGAAATTTTTTCTTTTTAGCAAAATTACTAGAATTTCCAGCAGGTTATTCATTTTTTGAACATATAAAAACATATATAGATAAGAGTGACAGGAGAGATAATTATCTTTTTGGTAATACATTCATTATATTATATATATGTACACATATTGAAAAATTGTATATTCTAACCATTATACTTTAATTTAACCAGGTGGAAAATATCGATTCAGGTCATCAAATGAATTTATACCACATGCAATATATCTAGCATCTGATAGAAGTGTTCCTTGTAGTTGTATATATTGTTTTAAAAAACCACAAGAGCCTATCAATAAAACTTTGACAACTGCTAATTCAAGTTTATCTTCAGAAAATGGCATTAATAATAATATTATTATTAATAAAAATCATAAAAATGATAATGAAAATGGTACTGTTAATCTTACACCAAGTCAACAACTAGAACAACAAGTACAATTTCTCAAAAAAAACCTGCTAAAAGAAAAAATGCAACATTTTCTAGTAGATTTAAAAGGCCAAACAAGCAAAAGAATATTGGATGATTCTCCAACTGATTTTTCACTATCAATTCCAGAAACATTTTCAGCATTATTATCTACTACTGATATTAATAATATTCATAACTGGGTGCAAATACCTGATGAGAACTTGTTAGAAAACAGAAGATTATTAATTTATAGACCAAATGAAATAGTTTGGGTGAAAAATTCAAGTGTACTAAGCGAAAGTCAAATGGAAGCTCTTAGAAAATATAATAATTATCCGACTAATTGGTGGCCTGCAATTGTTGAATTTGGAACTAATAAAATGATTGGAATAAAACCTTTGGAAATTGATATTAAATTAATAAATCTTGGAAATGAAGATATTAGGCCATGGTTGTCTGAAGATATTAGAAAAATCAGAACCCTTCTTTTTCATAATAAATCAAAACAAGGTTGCAGTTTGTATATTCAAAATTCAGAAGGGAAATTACTTTTTGATAATCTTATGAGGGCTTTGAGGCATGCATATGACATGTCTAAGAACTATTCATTATCTTCAAGAGTTAAAAAAATCAATATTAATGATGACTATGATAATTCAATAAATGAAAATTTTGATTATTATGGACAAATATATTGGGGTAATGAATGTATAAAAACTAATGATTTGGCTAGAATAGACTGTGGCAAAAAAGGTAGTGATTTATGTATAAAAATCACTGGAATATATAAAGACAATAGGAAATCAATAAAGTTCAAGGGAGATTTATTAATGTCAATAAAAGATAAATCTAAACATAAATATTGGATTAAATTCAATCTTTACAATAAAAAATATATTTTTGATTTGAATAAAGTTGCTGGAAGATACTATTGGCCTGATTGGCATGTTAAAACTACCCAATCAATGCCAATTAATTATGTGATAGATGAAACAAAAAGGGTCCAGTTAATAAAAAAGTTAAAAGAAAATTTAATTGAAAAAGATACCAATAATGATAATAATAGCAGTGGTAGTAGTAGTAGCAATGATTCAGTGATTATAATTGGTAGTGATGGTGGTGATTATAACAGTGATGACAGTGATGAAATTCCATTGATTGAAAACAAACTCGATAAAGGAAAAAAACGCAAAAACATTGACAATGATAACACTAACATTCAATCATTGAGTGACATTACCATCGAGAATTTACCAACCAAGCCCAAGGTTGATAAAGGAAAAAAACCAGTAATCGGATATAAACCAATGAAAAAACAAACAGCAAGACGCTCAATACCATTTCCTTTTAAAGCAACTGATATAAGTTATGATTTTGGACCAGTGGCAAAAAGAATAAAACTCAATGAAAATTTAAATAGTAATAATAATAAAAATAATTATAATAATAATACATTTACAACAAACTTCAATACTTCTCCAATTCTGGACACAAATAATTCTTCAACATATAATGACATTTCTTCTTCATCTAAAGCATTTATATATACATCTGCATCTACATCTGCATCTGCATATACAACTGCTACATCCACATCTGCATCCACATCTGCAACTGCATCCACTTTTCACAACATTTCTTCCACAACCCCAACTTCATCCCAATCCACGCATCCAACCAAATTTAATAGTCAATCTACAATTTCAACTCCAACTGCTATTCCATTTGCACCCCCAACCAAACTTACAGGTCAATTCACTACTTCAACTTTGTCTTCTGCACCATCAACTACATCACCGATTGTGCCATCAATTGCACCATCAATTGCATCACCAAATATATCTAAGAACACAATAATAATTCCACCTAAACTTACACCTACAAATGAAATTACAATTACAACTCCAACTGAAATATCAACTAATTCCACCACTACAGCCACAAATTCAACCACAGCCTCAATTAAACCAACAGTTCCAATTGCAAAACATACAACATCAGCAACTGATTCTATCTCAACTTCAATCAAATCTAACCATACTCAAAATTTAATCAGAATGCCTGATTTTACCATCACTACATCACCATCGCCACCACCATCACCATCACCATCACCACCACCACCATCATCACCATCAGCAGCAGCAGTACAAAATATGAACCAGAAATCAAAAGTTAATAAACATTGCTTAGACTATTCAAAACTAATATATACTTCACCAAATTTACCTTTCTTTGATGATGATGATCTTGATATTTCAGATATGGAGATTTGTTGACAATAAGATTCAACAGGATTAAATTGGTGAAATGGAAATTGTCTATCTTGGGAAAACTATATATTTCAAGTATAACTATTAATAATGACAAATGAAATTTAAAAAAAAGATTTTGCTATTTCACAAAAGTAAAAAGCATTATATAGAAATTCTTGATGATGAGTGTCAATGCTGAGTAGCTGAGTGCTCGTTTTTTTAAAACATAACTTTTTGGGAAGCATGAGGTGAAAATTTCAAGGTGATTGTTATTGGAAATGCTTTTTGAATGTTTGGATTTTGATTATGAGAATGATCATTGCCCTTAAAAAAATTTAAAAGTGAGTTCAGATCCAACCAGGGTTAACTATGTCAATGGTGATCTGCCTTTTATTACTGTATCCAAACCAAATAAAACCAGGGCTTAAAATTATACTTTAAAAATAAAAAACTGGTTTTCTGTTTCACCCTTAAAAATCAGAATTTCTCCTAATCTATTTGTTGTCCAAATGAAGCTTTTTGAAAACTTTAATTACTTGCAATTTTTACAAAACTAACAATGATAATATTAATTGTATGTAAATGTTAATAATATTGTTATTGACTCATGTATGCTCACTAAGGTTTCTGGCCGAAACTCTTTCAATTAGTAACCAAAATTGCTGAAACACTGGGCAAAAATTACTTTTTTATAAGCCCAAACTATTTTTTGTTATTAGCCAAAATTGGACAAAATTACTTTAAAGTTGTTTAAGTTAAAATAAGTTGATTGGTATAGTTTTTAATGTACATGTTATAAAAAATCTGAGAAGCCCAAACTAGTTTGGGCTTTGAGAAAACAGTTTGGACCAGAAACCTTAGTTGCGCCACATATCATACTAAAGATCTTTATATTATGTATTTCATGCATTGCTCATTTGATGTAAATATTTATTTAGAATTAGTAATTAATTAATAAACATATCTATCTTGTATGACTCACCAAGCAAAGTGGCTTACTATCTCTAAGTAAATATTTAGGTCAAATGAGTTATACACTAATATATAAGTAAAATATAAATACGAAGATCTACAGTATAAACATTATACAACATGCAATGCAACCGTTACAATAAACATAGAAAGATGATTGTTGATCATGATGTAATATTTAATGCATCGAAACAATATGGCAATTAATTTTATTACCATATTTGGTAATCAGAGGAATTCATTTTTTTTATCGTTTAATTAAAGTTCGGGATTTTTTGTTAAAGAATTATACATATATTATTATTGTCATCATTATTATTTTTATTAAGGAATGTGTATATTATATTGTTATGTTATAATATAATCATATTATTATTATATTTATATTATTTATAATCAAAGAAGTTATCTTTAAATTATGATCATACTTCCCGGGAAGTCTATAAGCTTCCATACAATATATATATTATATATTTATTTATTTTCTTATGATTTATATTTATATTTTAAGAATTGTATTTTTATTATTTAAAGAAGTAAAATTCAAACAAATAAAGATAACTTTTATATAATTTTACAACAATAAAATTATAAAAGCCGGATTATATGTAATAATCTATGTGCATAATCAATCAAAAATGATAATCTGAAATCCATCAAGATTGTCCTTTCCTGAAGTTTTTTCTTTAGATAAATAATTAAAAAATAATAATTATAATTGATATTTTTTAGAAGCGTAATACATTCATATATATTTAACATTGATATTTTTTTTTGCTAATCAATACTTATATCTAAATCCACCTGTACCACATATTTTATATTTTTTAGCAAAAAAAAATGAATAAAACAATTCCTTAAATAAATAACTAGTATTAATAATAATAGGATGAAGATTTTGATTTTTCCTAGCAATTGAAAATTTATTATGATCCCATCCCACTTAATAAGTTTTTGGATGTATTTTTTTATTTTTTCCACATTTAATAAAAATGTTTATAAACATCTGAATCAAATTTCAAACATCCTTTTCAAGTTGATTCCATTCATTCTTTTCCATCACAATTGAAAGTACAAAATTATGTGGTGGTTCTGGTAGAGACAATAAATATGCTGACAATTCAGGTGAATCAAACAACATAAGACTGGATTTAACCTTTTTGGCTTGAACGTCTTATAATATACTGAGTGATAACTACATCCTTTGCAATCAAAGCTCCTCATGAACCAGCTTGTGAGCTGGCTCACATGAAATTTTATTTACAATAAGCACACATTAGGACAGTAAACAAGCATGAATGTGTACCAAGAGTCATCATTTTGTCAAAATATTTCTTGTATTAGCCTTTCTTGGCATAAGCATTGTAAATAAATGTGGAGGAAAATCAATCTCGCCAATCATTAATTTATAATTTGTAGAGTCAGTAATCTTCTTATTCTTTCAGCGTCTTGAAAGCAAATTGAATCTCTGGCTCATGTATAACCTTCTATCAAAACAACAAATGTTACTATTGCATATGTTGGATTAATATTTCTGTTAATCATACTTTGATAAATTTTTGTTTTTTCAAATCCACCAATTTTTATATAATGTGTATATACAAGTACTGTGTAAATATCAACATTTGACTTTATTTCAGGATTATTTAACATATGATCAATCCAGCATTGCAATAGCCATGTTTACATCACCCTTGATATAAAAACCATAGGCCACCAAGAATAAGTGTAACAATTGGAATTATCAGTATTTAACATGTCTTTGAACCTATTTTTGTACATACTTCATCAATAATTATAGGTTGCAGTTTGTAGTCAGACCCCTTTTTTGTCATTTGGTTGATGATTTCTTTTGCTTCTTGTAGTCTTGAAGTCCTTGCATATACATTTGAAAGAAAAGAATATGTATATAAGTCAAGGGTTAAATAAATAAATCATCTTTTGCAAAAAGTGATATCAAACCATTATATGTTTGCACGTCTGGCTTTACACCCTCATCCAATGTTTTTTTATAAGTTTCAACCGACTTATGCAGTTCATTTGCATGCCCATCTCCATGTATCATACTGTCATAAGTTACTGTGTTTGGATCTACCTCTTCTTCAATCATTTGATTAAAAGTCCTATCTGTTATTTTTGTATCTTTAATATTTGAAAATAAATCAAACATTGATGAATAGATATATTTATCTGGTTTTTCCATTTCATTCATCCCTATTGTTTGTGAAACTTTATTCATTTTAGCATACATATGGAAAGCTTCTCTGAATGTATTAAAGTTTGGATCAACTTTCATTTCCAACATATTTTCAATCACCTCAAATGCTTTGACATAATTTTCTGTTTGATGATAATATCTTATCATAGTGTTATATAAAGTGATATCAAGTTTAAAATTTTGTTTTATCATTTCTTTAAGTAAAATCTCTGAAACATCAAACATTTTTTCTGAAGTCAAATTTTCTATCAAGTTGGTGTATATAATAGGATCATATTTTATTTTTAATGATTTCATCTTGTCTAAGATCTTAATTGCTTCATTGAATTTCTTTTTATTTGAAAGTATAATCACCACCTCTTTTATTAATCCTGCGTCTAGTTTTCCTTTATCCATTAATTCATTAAACCATGACAATGTTTCACTTTCATCATAGTCAAAATTTCTTTTGAAAACGATTTTCACTATAGATTTTGTATCACCATTAGGTGTAATATTCTTATCTTGCATCAAAGTATATAATTTTGTAACTTCTTGAAGATTTCCAAGATTTTTAATCTTTTGATTTTCATTGTTTAAGATATATCTTGGACTTCCAAGCCCAAGTATCATCATATTAATTATTTTACAATGCTCCAATGAATTTTTTCCCACATGTTCATCATCGAATGAGGTTAAAATAAATTCATCAAAAAGTTCTTTAGCCTTTTTCAAATTTCCATTTTCAAAAAATGCTTTTATCAAATAATTGAAATGAATTAAACTGATTTTTTTATTCCTTGTTTCTTTCAAATCATTATAAATTGTTAAAAATTTATCAAGTCTGCTTTTTGCATCATGGTTCAAGTCTTTGATTGCTCTCAATAGCCTATTTAAATATTTAGTATCAATATGTTCTAAATTTCCCTCTTTAACCAATTCTTTATAAACATCCCATATTAAGACATCATTTTCATTAGATTGCAAAGCTTTTCGTAATTTTGTTGAAGAAAGAATTTTTCCCTGTTCTAAATCATCTTCACTGTCCATGTTATTATTATCATTTACATCAATATTATTATTATTATTATCATTATTATCATCAACATTAATGTTATTATTAATTACATCAACTACATTATTCTCATTATTACTATTAAAATTTTTATCAATGATATTTTTGTTTTCTTCTGTTATTGATGATGAATTTTCAGAGCTCGTTACAAAATTTCGAACAGATTTTTCATTGAATTTAATTAAATATTTCATAGAAAACTCAATATTGGATTTTGTATAATAATAATTACAACGATTTATTTGAAACTGTTTATTAAATAAAGTTCTTTTTTGTCTATTAAAGCTTTCTCTGATGGATCGAGTAGTGATTTTTCTTACATAAATAAAAGGTGGATAAAATATACACATTGAATTTCTATTGAAATTTTTATAATGGATTTTTAAACCAGAAAACATGATTTTTTTTATTTGTTTTCTTTTTTCAAAGGTCAAAAGATCAATCAGATCAGAAACTTTTGAGATTTCATGAATATCATTACCAAAAATACAAAAAAACCAACGAATAAATATAATAAATACAGAATTACATTTTTTAATTATTCTTTTCAGAATTTTCCTCGGCTTGTTTTCTTATTCGATTTTCATACTCAAAACGATTTTTCCTATCAAAATAACAATTATAAAATAATAAATATATTATCATCAAAAAGAAAATCTGATAAGGTTATCATAGGAATAAACTACTTGTATAAATTGTAAGCTTCGTTATGTGCGGGGCTATTGGGATTTGGTTCATCTAAAAGATTTTGAATGCCTAACAAGATCTAAAATAATAGAGAAGTCATTACATAATTAATAATTAATTTAATTAATTTGCAAAAAAAAATTTTAAATTCATTTATTTTTTTACCTGTTTAATGTTAATACCAGGTTTCCATCCACCATATGGATTTATAATTGAAAGGCAAACCACCCCAGATGTATAAATGTTAGGATGAAAAAGTGGAGGTTCAAATTTACCTATATATAGATAATATATATTAGGAATTTAATTATTTTTCTAATAATTGTCCATGACTATAACCTACATGTAGGCGGTTTTAAGGGATAATCTTATAATAACAATAAGGAAAAAAAGAAAAAAACAATTAACATCAAAATAAATTATTTTCATAAAATGTCATGGTTGTTGAAAACTAAAGATTTATTTTTTACCATCTGGAAAAATCATGACCATTTTGTAAACACCATTTTCCCATAGTGTCTAAGGAAAACAATTAACAAGTTTATTTATTTTTTATATCGAGAATGAAGATGTGTTATTAAATCAACTATAAAAAAAATTGATGAACCTACGCCTTTTTTTCCTGGAATTCCAACTTTCCAGGTCAACATATCTAATCCATTTTCCTTTTTAATTGGCGTTGCATAAAAGCCCTTTTAAAAAAATTATATATATCATATGTAAAATTATACCATAAGCCCGGTTATTTTTTAATAATATAAAAGCTCACATACATATGGATGGTCTTTCCTCCATTGTTTACGCTCTTCAGTAAGACGAGCCAAACAAATTCCTGACATTTTGGGGTTTACAGTAAAGTGTAGTTTTGTAATAAAGAAGTAAAGTTTTATTGATAATTATTTACGCGCGTGTTCAATTGAATAAAACAAAAATGACATCTTAATCTGGACATCTAAAGGAAAGTTCTCAATTTAGGTCATCATGTGTGTAACTTCATCGACACACAAAGTTCCCCATGCATACCTCCGAGTATCTAAAGATATTTAAATGGCTAAAGCTCAACTCAAAAACCCTTTGAATTTTTAAATATTTATATTATATAATTTTTTGGCTTATAAATTTTTTTTTTTTACCAAAAACTTTCTATTACATTATTTTCTCATGTCAGAGTCATGTGTGGATCACATGATATAACGTGTATATGATCTGCGCTGTATTTTTTTTTAAATCACGATAAAAAAAATTTTTGATTTGAATTTTTAACAATAACAGAATGGAAAGGAAATTTTTACTAAAAAAAAATAGAGAAGTAGAAGAGGAAGAAGCAGAGGAAGAAATAGAAGAGGAGGAGGCGGAAGAAGGAGAAGAAGAAGAAGAAGAAGAAGAAGAAGAAGGTTTTTTTTAGTAAAACAAGCCTAATTTTTTTTTGTAAAATTTTCTAATGCAAAAAAACAAAAATATTTTTAGAACAAGCTGATGATGATATGGACCATGATGAATATGAGAATCATTTTGATGATAAACAATCAGATAAAATAAATGAAAAGATTGCTTTAGTAAAAAAAAATAAATGGAGAACAATTAATACTAAAAATAATGATGATGATAATGATGATGATTTAGAAAAGATCACCAAATATGTATTGAGCCTTGATAATAATGATGGTGAGGATGAGGATGATTTAAAATTAAAAAATGAAATTGAAATTGAAAACTTATCAGAAATAGCATCTTTCAAGGTGAAGGAATTTCTTTTATTATAAACATAATTAATTATTGAAATAATTATTTAGGTAATCGATTTTTCGACTTACTATTGATTATTATTAATAGATTAATAAAAAATTATCAGAATCTTGGACTTTGAATCATGGTAAGAAGAGTTGATATTAATACTATTAGGATTAACAACAATTGACTGACGATGTTGTTGTTTATTAGATAAAGGGGAACTTACAAAGTTGCAAAGGCGTCTTTTCTATCACATGAACAATTATAATGATATTCTATACACCAATCGTATGGTTAAAAATTCACGAGAAATCAAAGAAATATATGTTTTACATGCGATAAACCATATTTTAAAGTATATATTTTTTTATATTATTATTATATTGCTTAGTAATCTATATTTATATTATATTAATCAATACATATATTTATTAATATTTGATTAGAACTAGGAAACATGTATTAAAAAATAATAGTAAAATAACAAAAGCTCAAGCTTCCAATAAATTTATTGAGAAGTAAATATTTTTATTTATGTGAAAAGATTTTTTTATTTAATAAGAAAATAATAATAAATGGTTTTTTTTTTTTTTTTTTTGGTAGGGAATTACGAGATCAAGGTTTCACACGTCCTAAAGTTCTTATCATATTACCTTTTCGTAATTCAGCATTGGAAGTGGTAGATATTATGATTAAACTTTCTGGTACTGATCAACAGGTAATTTTAGATAATTGAAAAAGAATCTCTGAAAAAAAAAAAAGATTAATTATATTTTTTATTAAAAAAAGGAAAATCGTAAAAGGTTTTATGATTCATATGGGCTTACACCTGATCAAGAAAAAATCAATGAAAATAAACCAGGTATTAAATTATAATTATAATTACATTGATTGGCTGATTTACATACAATATCTATCTTTATAATATCCATTACTATTATTATCCTAATATTTATTCATTGATAGATGATTTTTTGGCAACTTTTAGAGGAAATATAGATGATTTGTTTCGAATCGGAATAAAATTTACACGTAAATCGATGAAATTATATTCTAAATTTTATTCATCGGATATTATAGTTGCATCACCATTAGGCTTAAGAATGATAATTGGTGAAGAAAATGAGTAAGTTATTTACACATTTGGAAAAGTCCCATTTTTTGACAAATCTTTTTTTAACACAATTTTATTTATTATTTATCTTTTTAAAAAAAAAATAGTGATAAGAAACGTGATTTTGATTTTCTTTCATCAATAGAACTAATAATTTTTGATCAATGTGAATCTTTCTTGATGCAAAATTGGGATCATGTCGAGGTAAAATTTTGTGTTGTTGTTGTTGTTAATGAAGAAGACACACAATACGTGCACATATTTATATCTATTGTTTAAATGGATATTAGGGTATATTTAAGCATTTGAACCTAATACCTACATCTGCACATGATTGTGATTTTTCTCGTGTAAAGAATTGGTATTTGGATGGAAGGTAGGAGGAAGTAATATATATATATATATATATATATATATAATTTTATAATTAATTATATTATATATCATTTATTTATTAATATATCATATATCATGTATGATCATATAAATATATACATTATACTTTATAGATCAAAATATTTAAGACAGACAATCATAATATCAGAATATTTAACACCAGAAATTAACTCCGCGTTTAATAAATATATGTGTAATATATCAGGAAAATTAAAAATCAAAAAGAAACATTATTCTGGTACTATTGTAAAAGTTATACCACAAGTTAAACAGGTAAATTCTTTTAAAAAATTTTTATATAATGTAGCAGTAGAAAAATTATTGATCCCAAAATTTGTATGAATTTTATATTTTATAATTAATTTTTTTTTATTTATGTCATTTTAGATATTTACACGTATTGATTGTTCTTCCTTATTGAAAATAGATGACATACGATTCAAATATTTTATTAAAAAGGTATAGATTATATATAATATGATATATTTATGAGATTATATTATACAAGCAAATAATATTACATAATATTAATAATATTAATAATAACCATTATTATTTAGTTTTTGCCATCTCTAAAGAAGAAAAATGGCGGTGAACATCAAGACCATACAATGATTTTTATTCCATTATATTATGATTATGTTAGAATACGAAATTATTTTAATGAAAATGAATTTTCATTTGTTGGCATTTGCGAGTGAGCTTTATAAATACGTATATGTACATATGGGGCCTTTTCAATAGAAACGAGGACAACGCCGAAAATCACGATTTTGGATTAATATACCACCTTTATATGTAACTCTTTAGGTGGAACGTCCTTGTTTCGAAACCATACCCACCTTGCATAGTAAAATTTTCCCTTGAAGTTTCAAAAACAATAGCAAAATCCCTTAATCTTTCAATTTTTTCTCAAAACATCATTTTCAACGTTGTTCTCGTTTCTATTAAAAAGACTCCATGTATGTATAATGATATTATACTAATTTATATTCTTTTGTTTGATTTGTAAAAGATACACGTCAACTTCAAATGTTAATCGATCACGTACATTTTTTTTGGATGGACGTAAAAAATTTATGCTATACACTGAAAGAGCACATTTCTTTAGGAGGTGATATTATTATTATTATTATTATTATTATTGTTATTTTATTATTATTATTATTATTATTATTATTATTATTACTACTACTATTATTGATTATTTTTATACTAATTAATTATTTTAATTTATTTTAGACATTTTATTCGTGGAATACGTCATCTAATATTTTATGCATTACCAGATCATCCACAATTTTATTTAGAATTATTAAATTCACTCGACACCAATCCCGCTAGTGGTAGTAATACTACTAGCAACAATACATGTAAAGTATTATTTATGAAGTATGATCAACTTCGACTAGAAAGGATTGTCGGTAGTGATCGTATAAACCGAATGATTTCTTCTACTTCTTCTGGTGATGATAAAAAGACTTTTGTTTTTACGTAAACGCTCTTTTTAAAATAACCTCGAGTATATGGAATGGTGATGATTTGAAAAAGGAAAATTCTAAGAAAGCCCCCTTATTTGTAAAATATATTATCTTTATTTTTTTAAGTTTATAATATTCTGCTGAAGCAAAATTCATAAAAGTTGTAGTTATATCTTTTGGAAAAATATTTGATCAAATTGTATAAAAGCGGCATATTTAATATTAGTAACTGGATTACGGTTTGAATCAAGAAGTTGGATAGGTTTTTTGTGTAAATGATATTCACGAAGGAGTTCAAGTGGATTTTGTGTATCTGATTCCATCTTGATGTTTTTTTTTATTTATTTTTTAATTTATTACATCCATGCAATTTCTAAATTAAGAAAACATTACATATTTCTAAATTTATTTATTATTATTTATTTTTTCAAATAACCTAATTCATATAAAAAATCAGTAATCTTCTCTGGTGGACGAGCAATAATAGCCTTGCCTTTATTCCAATCAACTAAAATAGGTCTTTGTAATCTTATAGGTTGTTGTTTGACAATTTCAAGTAATTCTTGTGTTGTGCTAGGAAGAGGAATACTTGGAGATTCAGCAGTATTATTAGTAGCAGTTGCAGATGTATTTCCTTTTCCTTCCTTCTGAGAAATATTGTTATTAACATTTCCACTTGCATCATCGCTTCTTAGAATACTACTGAAACCATTATTATCTTTTATACCTAAATAATCAACAACGGATCGAAGTTGGTCGTTTGTTAAAGGTTGTTTTTGATAATCCAAGACATCAAGTTTAAAAATATCAGGCTCTTTCTCAAGTGTTTCGTTCAATATTTGTAAAGCTTTGTTTGATTTACTGCATTTTGGGTTATATATTAATGTTAGAATTGGTTGAAAATTTAGACGAAAAGACATTTTTGCTTATATCATCAGGAATGAATTATGTGGTCACATTATAATATAATAATAATAAATAAATTTTTTCGCATCACATATGTGACTACGTGATTTAGGCGTGTAACCCAAAAACTAAAATTGCTCCTTTCTAAAGAAACCAACCACGCTCTGTAGGATATGACGCAACAAGAAATCAGAAGTGGAAATGGGACACTGATTTTATTAAATTGCATTGGGTTTCTTCATTTTGTTGGAGAGACTGTTAAATATATTTCTATCTTCACGGAAAAGGATCTCTTGCTTTAAGAAGAAAAGGACACGAAATAAGTGAGTAATTTATTCTCTGTGGTAATAATAATTAATTTATTTAATATCATGATGTTTGCTTCATTTTAATACTCTCCTCGCCTGTATTTGAAACAAATAAATCAGTCTTTACATAACAGGCAAGATAATAACTTAATTCATTACATAGCGAGAATCCATTGAAGTCTTCAAGAATAAAATTTGTGGATTATGGTGGCAGTCATTGAACTTGTCCATATTATCCTAACTTCTTGACTCAAAGATACAAATAAGCCCACTAGTTTTGAGCAGAAGTAGGCTGGTTATTGATACAACCGCCAACGGATTTTGATTTGTTTCGCCGCCAGAGATCCATCTATTATAGTGAAAAATCTGACAGAGACATCAATATCATATAATTAAACATATGGAAAACAGAAAATCTCGATACATATGTGTATATAGAAAACTTACTGGCCGCTGTTAAAACTACTTTAAAAAAGTTTTTTCGTGAAAATTACAAAATGACCAGGGAAGAGTACTCCAGAGAGAAGCTGTGCTGCTAAAAATTTACTACATTAAAACTTCAATCTTACAACTCTATAATTAATATTAAAGAAAAATCGGGCACCGCCCGTTGATTTAAAGAAATGTTTTACTATGCTATCGTTGGGCTCATTAAAACATTATAAAGATAACAATTATTACTACAAGTGAAGACGGCTACAATCGTTTCTACTTTGAAAAAAAAGTAATAAATGATCATTTTAGTCACTTTGATAAAACTAGCATAGTGATTTGTTTATTAATGCACCGCATCAACATTTTATATTTCATCTGCTTCATCGATGGTGTTGTTGATCTCTAGAATCAAGCAAATTGATACCAAGGCGAACAGATGCATTAATGGAGCGAAAAGAATTATATCTGATCTTTTGAAGTATTAATATATATGTTAAAAATGATAATAACTATTGAAAAAGATTTGTTGAATGCAAAGCAAAAAACAGTCATCATTATCATAAATGAATTCAAGAAGATAAATTAAAGCTTCGAACAATTCGTTTTCGGGCAGGTTAAGTGGTAAACCAACCTTTTTTGTATACAAACCGAAACCTGACCGAATTTTATTTTTTAAATATTTTAAACAATTAGTCGTTTAACGCGCTTTGCAAACTTCATAACTAAATAACAAAGTAGCACCAGATTTTTTAAAAATAGTCACAAATTATTTTTACGTTCAATCAAGTAAATCATTAAAGAAGTTCCTTTCATCCAGATCATATATATTAACAGCTTCATCGTAAAAATTTTTAAATTAGTATGACTTAAATTTGGAGATAAGTTTTCTTTCCTAAACAAAATCGAATTTTTTGATCTAATTAGCTGATAATTCGATTTTAAAATATGGAGAGGACCTTGCTTTTAAAATTTATCATCTTCAACTTTGATTCATTCAATAAATTTGTTAAATCATTTACTAGTTGACTAATATATTTTGGTTAGGACTTGTAAGGTCATCAAGTAAGAGTCAAAGGATGAAAAACTGTAATTATCAGACTTTTTTTTTCATCACAATTTAAATATGCAATTGCAGAATTGTTAAAATCAGATTTTATTGAAAATTGTAATTATCAAGTTTTGATAAATAATTATAGTTAAAAAAATTTTATTCAATTACTATTAATTTATACACTTCACATTCTTCCAACACCATTTTTGAATCATTTCCAATAAAGAAATTATTTTCATAAGCATAGGGATAATGACAACAATAAGGTTTATTACTAATGTTACGTAGTTGTAAATCACGGAAATCTACAGTAACCTCATGAAGTTCCGTACCATCTTGAGTAAAAACACTAATAATTGGTGCATGATGATATATTGCCCATCTAGGATATTGGGCTCTACTTAAAATTGGATTATTAGCTTGATCATCATCAATTTTAAATATAAAACTTTTATCAGCTACAATACAATAATTTTCATTTCGAGATTTTTCTTTTATGTTCCAACAAGCTGAATTATAACCACCTGCTAACTCGCCTGTTTCTTTAAATTTCATTAAGACTACAGTTTTCTCAATGTTATAACATTTCTTCTCAAAAACTGCCCTTGAAAAGCCATCTCCTGATCCACAATAAATTAATTCAAAATCATATGGCATATTATATTCATTATAATAATCATTATTTTTTTGATCAATCCAACCAGAAATTAAAGCTTTTAACTTTGGATTTAATAATGTCCCTTTCCTGATTCTTGTTCTTGGGCCTTTTTGAAGAAGTAACCTAGGTTGCCATTTTTCATAACTAACATAATATTGAAGAATCTCTTCATATGCTTCTTTATTAAAGGCTTTTCTATATGGTCTAATTTTCTCATCAAAATTATTTGAAGAAATATTATTGAACCTAATTAATGGAATAATATCTTCCAATATATTTTTCAACACTTTGAAATCATCCTTATTCCACTCTGAAAAATTTTTTTTCAGTGTTTTTTCATTTTGTCCTATTCCCCATTGAGTAATGCAATCCCAAACTTCAATTTCATCTAATTCTAAATCATCCCTTTCCAATATAGACATAAGCATTGTTTTTTCAACTATTGCAATGTCTTTAGATTTTAAAAATACTTCTGGTTTTTTGCGAATTAATTTATTACAATAATTTTGAAGTAGACTGAACAATTGGTGTTTTGATGAAATTTCATTAACATAAATTAAATTTTGGTGTATCCATTTATTTTTTTCATTAATTAAATAATTTTGTAAATCATCAATTAACTCATTAAAATTTAATTCATCACATGCTTCAAGAAGTTCTAAAATTTCATCTGCATCCAGGCTATCAATATCAATAATTCCATTGTACATATATCTTTTAAAAATATAAATAACAAGAAAAAAAATTTTAGACAAATTATTATAATTATTAAACAATTGTATTCAACTATTATTAATAAATCAAATTACATTAAAAGAATTTCGAAAACTCTTGGAGAAATATTTTCTTTTTCAAAAAAAATACTACCATTATCAGATTTTTTAATCCAATTATCTGATAAAGCTGCTTTAAAATACAAAGATCTTGCTTTTAAAATATTGGAATGAGCTTTGAATATTTTACTATTCTCTTCTTCTCCAACTTTGACTTCCATATCATAATAATCTGATTCTTTCATTAAACTTGTTAAATCATTTACTAGCTTATTAGTATATTTTAATGGTAAAGCATTTTGGTTAGAGTTTATAAGATTGTTAAATAATGTACTTTCTAATGATGAAAAACTGTTATTATTTTGAAATTGATTAATATTAAATATGTATGACAATCATTTTGAAATGGTGTATTTACACTATATATGTAATTTTGCAATAATTGCACAACAAATACAGCACTTGGTCAAAAGTTTCGGTGAAATGTATAATATTCATATCCTAGGCCCTTGTGAACATCTGTACAAAATTTCATGCTTCTAGGTTTGTAGAACTCGAATAAATAAATAAAAATGAATTTTGATTAAAAACTTTTTATTTATTTTATTACTCAAAACCTATGTAATAACTTAACTACTACCAATTCTACCGTCTAATATTTAGTTGGATGTCCTTTTCTCTTTATACAAACTTGAATTCATGCTTTCAATCAAATTCATTAAAACACTTTGAGGAATTTTATTCTGTTCCTCTTTAAATCAGCCTCAAGTTCTTTAGATTGTTAGGATGACTTCTAATGCATGTTTCTAGCACATGCCAAAGATGCTCAATAGGGTTTAGCCAGGAGATTTTCTTGGTAAATTTTGGGTTTGTTTGCCCTTAACCACTTTTGAACATCTTTAGCAGTATGAATTGAAACATTATCATCTTGAAACAAATACCCCGTCCATTAAAGCCTTTATCAGCAAATTCGTTTTCAAGCATTTGAGTATAATAATGCCAGCTCATTTTACCATTAATTTTTGCCAGTGGTCCTAATCCTTTACCAAGGTCAAGCCATAACCTTCTGGCTGATTTCAACTACATTCTCTTCAGTTCATCCTCTTCTTGGGGTAATTCATGATACCACTTCTTCACCATACCAGTCATGAAAATCCTCTATTCTTGTACTGTATGCTGTCTCATCTGGGACAAGCTTTTTTGCAACATATCTGACATAATCTTTGTGATTTAAAATACCCTATATAGTTTAAATCAAGTTTATTGTGGTCTACCATTTTTTTGATAATTCTGATGTATATTCAAATGCAAAATTTTTTCATAATCAAAAGGTTAATAACTATCTTCAGGTAAGCCTCTACTGGTTTACCCCTTCAATTTGCCTTTATCTCACTTACTCTTACTTTCATTTCATGTCACCTTCTCAAATTTACCTTTGTCTGCTCTACAAAAAATAAAATACAGAATACATACAGAGTACATAACATAATAATATGGAAAACCAGTATGTTTTGTATGTATTTTGGCTATTCAATATTTTATTTTTTATAGGGCTGTCCACATGCTAAACATAGCTGTGTTCCTCTTCCAACAGCTTGTGCAAGGAATGTATGGTTTGCTTCCCTTTATTTGAATTGTAAATGGAGGTTTTCTAGGAAAACTTTGAAACTCTGACCAAAATTGGGTTATTTATATATATATAATGAAGATTATAATTGTATTATTGGTGGCTCATTATTCTCATTCAAACTTGAAATTCTCCATAACGCATTACTTACAGTAAAAAACTTAATCAATATGCTTTGTTTAACTCATGGTTAAAACAAAATAATATCAACTTAAAAATAAAACAGCTAATCAATTATTATATAGCACAAATACTCTCAAGACCTCTTTCAAATTCAAATTCAAATTTTAATAATTCTCATCTAGTTTTAATAGGTGACTTCATTAATACTGGATCTGACTTCCTATTACCTAGGTAATATCCAGATCAGTCAACAATATCTATGATGCAGTTAAAATTGTTAAATTGAGACTGAATAAACTTCATAGACTTTGTTTGGCATACCCTTTTTTTCCTGAAATGTTAAATTTAAATATTATATATTTTTTTTAATTATTTCAAGAGGAATAGCCTCATATAAAGTTAATTTGGAATTTATTTTGTGACTTATTATTATTATATTTACTTTATTCTAATAAAATTATATGAGCAGGATATTGCCTTTATTAAAATAAATTTAGCCTGTTAAAACATATTTTGCAGAAATCGTCATTTGATTATTTTCAAAGCCTGCTGGTTTTTTCCTAGCTTTGACGATTTTAGATTTTGTTTTAAATTGAGAAGATACTGCAACAAGAAAGTTCCTGGAAAATAAAATAAAATTATTGTACTTGTAAACAATTACAATCTCAAAAGTCAATTGAAATACAGATTCTATCATTAATCAACCTGAACAACTTCAATAATTCAGCTTTGTTCTAATAACTTTACAATCCTTGATAAAGTGTAAACTCAGTTATAAATAAATAATAATAAATTTAATTAGTAACCATATTATATATTTTTCATCCAAGTCATTATCCAAAAGACACCATTATTACAAACTTTTTTTTTGGGTCACATTACAAAAGAATACATAAAAAACTATACATACCATTAGCACAAAACTAATAATTTAACTGGGTCCCTCTTTACTTTATTTATTTATTCCAAGGAGAAAATCTTGTCATCTATCTTCTTGAGTGGATGTGGACTGCCTGTAGGGGTGCTTGATAATTACATGCTTCCTGCTAGCCTTTGTTCTTTCTTTTGAAGATTATGAATTCCAAATATTACTCATACATAAATATTTGTTTCAAATAATTATTAATTGAATTTATCACTATATTATTTTTATCCTTTTTGATGATTGTGCCCACCATTCATGGACAGTTGGTTGTTCTTGTAAAAAAGGTGTTTAACTTATTGTAAAAGATTATACTTGAATGTCATTTATTTATTATATATTTTATTATATAGATGTTGAATGTAATATAATTTTTAATTTTAATTTGCTAATTTCCTATACACATATAAAATAATAAAAATATTATCTGCTTTATTATATAATTATTCTTGATTATCCTTTTCATGGGCTAATATTGCACCATGTTGTGAACCAACTCCAACATCAACTATTTGGTAATTGTGTAAATCAATTGAAGTTATTTTACGTGGTAATGGTTCATTTCTTTCTTGTCCATGTCCAAGGTTATAGGATTCACCAGCACCCCATGACCATATTGATTCATCATGAGCAATAGCAATATTGCTATTGTTCCATGCCCTTACTTTTCTATAATTCGAAATTTCATCATCAACACCTTTAGTAGTGGTGGTAACATTGTCTTTATTTGATAATGGATCTCTTCCCACTTCACTGAAAGTGTAAAATCTTTGATTCTGCATTATATTATCACCAATGCCTAATTGACCATCATCACATCTTCCAAAAGAAAACATTCTACCATCTTCAAACAATACAATTGTGTGGTGTTGTCCGGCAGCAATTTCTTTAATTGTACTATCATAATCAAGATCAAGTCGCGTAGGAAGTATTATTGATTCTTTCTGGCTAGGATCAAATCCACATTGGCCATAGTTGTTAAGTCCCCATACATATAATTTATTACTTGTATCAATAACAAACGAATTCCAACTACCACAAAAAATTTTTTTAATGTTTCTCATAATGCGTTCTGGTGCCAACCCTGATCCCTTTTCATTTAGGCGAGGATTAAATTTTCTTCCCAGTTGAAACATTCCATTCCACCCCCAGACATACAGCTCATGCTTTTTTGTAATAGCTAATGTATGGTTTTCACCACAAGCAACATCACTGAACTTGATACGTTGGACAGGCTTATATTTAGTGAATATTATTTGTTTATGAAGTAATTGTTCTCGCGAAAATCCGAGTCGTCCATTTTCATCCTAATTAAGAAATTTTAATGGCAAATCATAAAAAATGCACAAGCAACAAACACAATTAATAAAAGGAAATAGTAAATAAATAAATAAAATATACAAACACACAATATACAAATACACTAATACATACAAAGTAAGTGCCTGCTGCATAAAGAACGCCTTCATCAGATAATAAAAATGTTATATTATCACCACAAGCAGCCTTAACAATTCTAACATCATCTACCCCCTCAACTTGAGCAGGAATAAATTCATCTATTTTGTCGGTATTTCTTCCCAAAGCACCTTCATCATTGCAGCCCCAACTGTATACTCTTCCTTGATCATCTATAGCAACGTTATGTAAACTTGATACAGATATCGCAACTATGTTTTTGTTTACTAGAGGTTCCAATAGCCTCGGTTTTTTGATAGTGTCAACAATTTCAGGATCGAAACCTAGCTGTGCAATTTCATTTGAACCAAATACGAAAATATTTCCTGGAACATTTGGGATTTCTATCCTTGGTATGACGACTCCTTTAATCTTTTTATTTATGACAGTTGGTTCTGGCGTGACTGTTCCACCGATTCTCCTCTTTTTCATTTTTTTTTTTTTTTTTTTTAAATTTTAAAAACAATTTTTTAAATATCGATTTCTAATAAAGGAAAGATACTACCCCCTAAGATGTGTAATGATGTAATGTGATCAATCGCCCCATGTAAATACTATTAAATTAAATTGATTGTCGGTTGTAAATATATTAATATAGTAAGCCTTTTTCCAAAAAAAAATACTATCGTAAATTTAGTTTTTTATTGCCGGATCTTAATATCTTTAATTTTAAAATGTACAATTAACAAATCAGTAGGAGCACTAAAGCAATGACCGATCATGGAAAAGTATATATATATTTAGTTTTGATTTTATTATTATTATTATTATTGGTTAGAATTGAGTCATATGCGAAAATGAACCATTTGTTCAGTGTCAAATTTTTTCTTCTGGAGTCCTTGAAATTGGTAATTCATATGATTTGAAAAGTCGGGTCAATCAATTAGCCAAATAAGCACGAATGAAACCTTCTGTATTCAACTACAATTCTTGCAAATAAATAATTATTTCCAAATTGACATTTTTGAATCACAATTAAGGAAAGTTAGACTTTATCAATAACATATTTTTGTTGAGTATATACATAATTACCAATTATTCAGTTTCTTTTTTTTTTGATAAATCATTTTATTTTGTCTAAATTTTTGTCAATGATGAAAGTGAAGCCTTACACTTTCTGTAGGAGTGATTTAAATGCAAGCAGTGATGGTTCAATTGGTAAACATATATGGGACATGCTGTAACAAAACCAGACAAAATGAACATTGGTATTACCAAGGATTTCAGGGATCAAAATTTAGCCATTTGTAATGTGATCATAATTAACAGTTTTATAATATCCCATTTGTTATTTTAAGTGATGTATAGAACTATCCCTATACAAAAATAGTTAATATGAAACTTATTTACATCAGATCTACCATGGAACCCAAGAATTATAGCACCATTAGAAGTATTTGAAGAAAAAACAAAGTGAGAAAATCGCTCCTTATATTTTCAAAATAAATGACACTCAGGCACTTGAAGCTTATCTAAGAAAAGAAAGAATTACCTATGAAATTTACCAAGAAGAAAGAAAAATCATAAATGTTAGAAAAAGAAAACAAAATGAAAGTGTACTATTACCTAACAAAAAGCAGAAACCCTTAGAAGGAAAATAATTTTATTATTACAATTTTTTTACTGATTATTACTACAAAGAAAATCCTCCTTTATGCAAATATAATTAATGATCTTCATATTGCTTATCAATAAAAAAACACTGTTTGAGTTTTGAACAAATTCTACTACATTCAAGGATATGTTTTATAGACATTGAAACAAGGTAAATAATCCCACCTTGTATTGAAACATTGTAAAAACATCACCAATTCACTTAATTTTCAGGTAAAAAAATTCAAATAATAAATCTTTCAAATAATCATCATTAAACAATTTTATTTTGGTTTAAAAAAAAAACAAGTAATCAATAAATATTTACACAATTTTCATCCATAATAACATTTTTAAAAAAATGCTTACATTCAATAACGAACTTTTTTGTGGATTGTTAATTGGACACCTTGGTTTCTTGATTCACCATAAAACCTACCAAAGTCAACTCCATACTATAAATCAAAATAGAACCAAGAAGGAAACAATTTAAAAATAAAACAAACCAACTTACTAGTGATAAACAATATTCACAAAAAAATAGAAAATATATGGGATTTCAAAACAATTAGTATTAGTAATTGCCCAAAGATCCAGGAATTACACAAATTTCCCCCACTAGGGAAAATTTCGGATTTTCAGGTAATTTCCTTGATTCACTGTGTCACCAATCAGGATAAATAGGTAATAAATTCAAAAAATAATAAAAAATAAAAAGCATATTTTCAATTTCTTCAATTCCAAAAAATGGATCACCGATTTGATTTATATAGTGTTGAGGTACTAAGGAAAACAGTTCTATTTACGTGTTTATATATTTTATAACAATAAAAAAAAACTTTTTTTGTAAATATAAACACAGGAAGAAGGGGGTGAACACCAAGATCCAACTTATATTGTGACAGATTCTGATGAGGTACTACCTAAAAAATAGTAATTTATATTCTATTTGTGTTAGTTCATAACTTATTTATAACTTTATAAAGATTTTTTATTTAAATTGAAAATTTTTTTCAAACAATCAAGGTGAACCTTTAAAAGAAATCGATAATCATCCATCTATAAGGAAAACCTTAGGTTCAAAAAGTGAAAAAATAAATAATGATGTTTTAAAGAAACCTTTCAAACTTCCAACCAAAAAAATCGGGTAGTGATGAGTTATTTATTGAAGAAAATTTAAATGATGATGATTCTATGCCAAATATCATCATAAAAGGTGA